CCTCCACCACACTAGACTGGGAGTGTTCTCCTCAGCCCCCTCTATCTTACAAGCCCCCACCCGCCCCACCACTCCTGGGATTTTTAAATTATTGTAACCACCAGGGGGCGCTAGAAACCTTCATTGGATATAACCGAGCTGTGCATCAAAACCAGGCTGGTCAAGGAAAAGACACTCCTCAGCCTGTCCTGAGACAGGCTGTCTCTTCCACATTGGCAGGTGGGAAAGCCCAGCCTGGAAATTCCCAGATTTATGATTCTACAGACACCAAAACTTTCTTCCCCAGGCATCCGTGACTCTCTATGCGTCAATTTCCTCATCTGTAACATGAGTGACAGTAAACTTCACAGTCTAAAATACGGTAGGGATCAGAGATGATGGGGCTGCAAAGATCAGAGGAAGACAGGATAGAGCTCCAGGGCTCCAGGCTTGAATCCCACCTCGGCCAATCACAAGTTGAGTCAACCTTGGGCAAACTTAGGCTTAGTTGCCCATGCCTCAGTTTCTGCATCTAGAAAATGGGGTGATGGAAAATAGGACCCATCTCATTGAGAGGTCTATGTAAAAATAGAATTGTGGAGGCAGGGCAAACAAGTATACAGTAAGCACTTAATGAATGTTAGCTGCAGCTACTGCTTTCAGTTCTGTTGCTATTACTAGGCACCCTCAAAAAACTTGGCCAGAGGGTCCTATTTCTGGTTCCAGATCCCCTACACACACATTCCTCACGCTTGTCTCCAGGCAACAGGCTGGAAGCCCCCTTCCCCTCCTTCCCTCCACCTAGGAAACCACCTGAATGTTTGCCCCCTACGTCCCGCCAGAGTCTAGATCAAGTCCAACGGTCTGTTACTGGGAAAGACTGTCGTGTTTTCCCGCATCTCTCTCCACAAACCCGACACCCAATGTGGGGTTCCTTCCGAGAAACCCAGGGGGGCAGTCTGGAGGAAGCACACTCTGCCACGTCACAGCCGCCACCACTCCCGGTCGTGTGAGACAGCCCGTAAGGGCCGCCCCGCCCCTGCCGGGAACAGAGGGGCTAGGAGACATCCCTTGCCCCGTCGCAAGGGGTCAGGGGCTCTTAGGACCAGCCTGTGGCCTTAAGCGGAAACAAGGGACAGGGCTCTAAGGGCGAGACTAAAAGAGGGGTGACTAGATGAGTGGGCGTGGTCAGTCTGAAGGGGTGGGGCAAGTTTAAGGGGGCGGGTCCACTAGTAGGAAAGAAAGGAGTTCCCCAGGGAACGTGACCTACGGGAAGAAGGTTCATCCAAGGGGGCGTGGTTAGCGAAAAGAAAGTTTATAGAGGGCGGGGCGATAGCAAGGGGCGGGGCGAGAAGTTACAGTAGGAGAAAGGGCGGGGCCTGGAGGGGAGGTCCCACTTTAGTGGGCGGGACCAGGTGATGGCGCTCGGTTCCCTTCGGGCTCGGCAGGGGAAGGCTGGACCTGGCTGGGGCGGGGAGGGAGGGGTCGGGAGACGCAGAGCCTCAGGCTTCCGCCCGGCCCCAAGTTCCTGCGAGCTCCGCGGGTCCCGGCCCAGGTGAGTGAGGGGTCCCAAGCAGAGCCAGGACCGGGAGATTTGGTGGGGGTAGGGAGTTCTCTTTTCCAGGTGGGGCCACCTGCTCTCTGGAAGAATCTGGGTGTCTGTCCATGCGCGTCCGCCAACGTAAAAAGGGTCACCTGATTGGGTCACTGTGCATCATGCGTGTCCGTGTACCTGGGCGTCCTCCTCCAAGCGTATTTTCTCTGCAACATGGACAGCTTCCCTGCTTCCATGCCTGAGCAATCTTTTTAAACGACAAACCAGATCATGCCCCTCTCTCACTTCATACCTCTCCGTACCACCTCTTCCATCCCACCGAGACGAAATTCAAGGTCCGCCAGTTTCCTGCATCGTCTCTGCCTAACCTCACTGCTCTCCACTTCGCTCGTGGCTCACAGCATTGTCACACCTGCCTCCTTGACAACGTAAAATATAAAAAGCAAGCTCTGCACCTTTGCCCTCCCGGTATACCCCTCACCTATACTGCTCTTTCTTCACATCTTTGCTTAACTGTCCCCACCCCCCACCCCCCGTCACTGAGATCTCAGCTCCCATGTCACTTCGTGGGAGAGAGCCTTCTGACTACCTATTCATATTTAAGGTAGCCTCCCCCAGCCAGCCTCTCTTTACATCTCCCTGTCTTCGTTGTTCACCCTTAGACATTATCTTCTTCATCCATCGTGCACTTATTTGTTTTGTGTGTCTCCTCCACTGGAGGGGCCTTGGTCTCATTCATCACTGTTTCTCCTTGGCACACAGTAACCATTCAATCAGTCAGTATTTTGCTCACGTTTGAGTCTCCGTGTCCACCTGTGTCCCTGTCTTGTGCAAGTGGTTGCCCCCTGCAGGAGTATATGGCCGATAGAAAATGAATAATCCCCTCCCTTCTTTCCCCAAACTTGCCTCTCACCCACCTCCTCTCTTGATTTCTGCCCCCTTCCTCTCTCTCCTGCCCAGATACTCAGAAATTATTCCAAACAATGCAGGACAGGTGGATGACTTAATTGGCCTGTGGCAGTCCTGTGACCACTCTGAGCTCCCCCTGAACAAACCGGAGTCAGTGATGCACCTACACACCCACTAAGGGGCACGTAAGACAGACAGAGGACGCTGGAGTCAGGGGACTCTTAAAACCAAGGCCAGGCCAGGCCAGGCCCAGCTGACAAGCAGGAAGTGCACAGGTATCCAGGAGACACACCTGGTATTCAGGTATGTGGCGCCTGGAGCCAAAGCTCTGCTCTGCTCTCCCGCCCCTTAAGTCACCACGGACTAGTCTGGGAACTTGCTGGCCCTTTCAGGCCCTCAGCCCAGCTGACTCAAGTCCTAAAAATCCTCCTGCTATTTCCCTGCAGACCCTGCCAGGCCCAGAAGGCCCTGGGCGTAGGGGAGGCAAGACACTTTCCCCACGACCACCTCCCACTCCCTCTCCCCCTCTTCCCTCTCATCCAGAGCAGTTTTTTCACCAGTTGCTTGAGAGACACTGGGGCCTGAGGCATGTGAGATGATCAAGGGGTCCTAGAGCGTCCGTGTCCCAAGTTTGATCACAGTAATAAGGAAGTGGATTGGCTCCAAAATATGAAAACCTGCAGATGTCTATTTGCTGTTTGCTGACCTGTCTACAAAAATGTGACCTTTTAATGGTCTTTTAAAATGGGTTTCCCCACTGGCTCAGTGGTAAAGAATTCACTTGTAACCTGGGATCTGGCTGGAGACGCAGTTTGATCCCTGGGTGGGGAAGATCCCCTGGAGGAGAAAATGGCAACCCACTCCAGTATTCTTGCCTGGAGAATTCCAATGACAAAGAAGCCTGCCGGGCTACAGTCCATGAGATCGCGAAGAGTCAGACACCACTGAGTGACTGAGCACACAAAATGACCTTATTGGAAAGCCATGAATGGGTTAGATTTTTTTGTACAATCTAAGAATCCTTGAGTGTGCCTACAGATCACTGAGATACTATGGGTTTTAGGAAATTTAATTCTCCCCAGCCTGGAATTTATTTCACCCCAAGAACCACCTGGCTGGAGACTTCCCCAGTGCTCCGGTGGCTCTGCTCTCCCAATGCAGGAAGCCTGGGTTGCATCTCTGGTCAGGGAACTAGATCCCATGTGCCAGAACTAAGAGTTCTCATGCTGTAACTAAGACTCAATGGAGCCAAATAAATAAATTAATTTTTTTTTTTAAAAAAGAATCACCTGACTTGGTCCCTTAAAATCCTCCCAACCTTTACCCACCCCCAAGACCTTCCCAGGTCACCCTATAGAAAAATCTTAACTCCACTGCTTGAATCTTCATATCCGATACCTGGTTTCATTTTTCCCCTTGGTTCTCTCTGATCTATTCTAGGCTTCCTTTTCTACTCACTTATTTTCCTAATCTCTGTCTTCTCAGCTAGAAGATGCCTAAGGGCAGGAATCTTGGTCTGTGTTGTTCACTGCTAGGTCTCTAGTGCCTGGAAGGGGCTCCAGGCAGAGTGGGTGCTCCATAAATATTCTTTTGAGTCAATTTGTTAATTATATTTCTACAAAACATAACACTATGTCATCTGCATTAAAATTTGCATCACATTTGAGATCATTGTCTTCTTCCTTTGCAAGAATCCCAGTGAATTTACATGACTTTTCATGAAATCACAGCCTATTCTAAATTAAAGTTAGGGGCTTCCCTGGCCGTCTAGTGGTTAAGACTGCTCACTTCCCAAAGCAGGGGGTGCCAGTTTGATCCCTGGTTGGGGAACTAAGACCCCAGATGCTGCATGGCACAACTGAGAAATAAATTAATTAAAAATGATAAATTATTCATTTCATGCTTAGTTGCTCAGTCATGTCTGACTCATTGCAACCCTTTGGACTGTAGTCTTCCTGGCTTCTCCATCAATGGGATTTTTCAGGCAAGAATGCTGGAATGGGTGGCCATTTCCTACTCCAGGGGATCTTCATGACCCAGGGATTGAACCCACGTCTCCTGTGTCACCTGCATTGCAGGTGGCTGCTTTACCCACTGAGCCATCCAGGAAGCCCCAAAGTTACTCATAGCTTGAATTTAACCTGATATATATATATCAAATATAACTCATATAATTTATAATTAAAAATATATAATCTGACTATGGGTAACTTCTTTAACTTAATATAAATATATATTAACATATATTTTAAATATATTTATATTTAGAATATAAAATACACAAATGTTATATGTAAATATTTAAATACATTTATATATAATTATATAAACATGCTGTATATTAAAATATTATATATATTTATACATATACAGAGAGCATTGCATTTTATGACTTGATAAGATGTGCGCTGTTGTCTTCAAACTATGAGGAACATGAAAGGGCTGACCAAGCCATTCAGGAAGCAAGAATAATTATTCCCATTTTACAGATGAGGAAGACTGAGGCCTGTTGGACGTACAAAGCACAGCCCCTGCACCCTCTGCCCCCGAGAGCTCCATGCAGGTGCCACAAGACGGAGAGGACTTTGTGGGCCAACCCTGGTACCACGGCCCCCTGTCCCGCCAGGTACCTCCCACAGGACTGCATACCATCTGATGGGGAGTCTCACTCATCTTTGACTTATTGGGGACTCCTGGGTCCCAGATAAGGGTCTTAGGGTCAAGATCTATCAGAAAGAGTGGCTTGAGGGCTGAGGATTATTTTTGCAACTTGGTCTATGTGGGATGTCATGTCTTATCTTTAAATTATCACTTCCTTTGGGATGGTGTTGAAGAAGGTGACAGGAGTTGAAAAGGGTAGTAATGACTCCTCAAACCACCCTTTGGCCCTACTTGTCTCTGTGCCTCTCTCTGGATTCCAGGCCACCTGTGGCTGCCAGGGTCCCATCTCCCTCTCAATTCAAAGCACCTCACTCTCATCTCTAACTTAGGAGTCACCTTCAGGAGTCCCAGGACCTGAGACATCTAATCAAATCATGAGAGGCAGTGTAGCTTAATGGTGAAAATCCCATACTTTAGCCACAAGCAGCCTGAGTTCAAATCCTATTCCTACAACTTATATTGGATGTAAACTAGAGCAAGGTAGTTGATGTCTCTGGGCCTCTGTATCCCCATCTGTAAAATGGGCATAATAGTACCTACCTCTTATCCTTGCTAAAGGATGAAGTGAGCTCATACATTTTACACTTAAAACAGTGCCTGGCATATAATAAGGGCCATACAAGTGTCCTTTGCACATATTTTCCAGTTCCCAGCCTCCATCAGCAGCTCTGCTTTGCCCCTCTATGATGTTGTGGCCCTCAGGCCCTGTTTTCAGCCACCATAGCTGGCATGATAGTGCTCTATTTTAACAAAGGTGAATTTCAAGGCCATGATCTGTTTGGAAGAACCTAGCAATGGCTTTTCTGAAAGCCACATTTGCATAACAAGCTCAGCACATGTCACTGGGTTGGAACTTGCATTAGTCAGCGTGGGCTAGTGGCTGTAACAAACATCCCCACACTGTCAACGACTCCATCAACATTTAAGGACTAGTTCATGCCACAGTCTAAGAGGATGCACAGCTTCAAAAGGAGTCAGACCCAAGCCCTTTCGGTCTTCTGCCTCCACTATCCCCCAGGGCTCTGCGGGCATCAACTGACAGATTCAGGACGAAACCTGTAGGATTCTGCTAGACTTACTTCATGGGCCAGGTCTGACCATTGCCCACAGCACTCCTCCCACATCCCATTGGTCAGATCTTGTCACACGACAGTTAACCGCAAGGGAGCCTGGGAAATGTAGTGCAGAAGTATGTCCACTAGACAAGAAGAAATTGTTTGGCTCAAAACTACCCAGTCTCTGGGGTGGCCTTCCTTGGGTCGGGGGGAGGGGTTGGGAGTCTCCATTAATTACCAATACATACTCATGCATAAACCCCTTGCCCCCCAATCCTCCATCCCCAGAAGGCCGAGGACCTTCTCCAGCAAGATGGTGACTTCTTAGTTCGTGCGTCCAAGTCCCGTGGGGGCCACCCTGTGATCTCCTGCCGCTGGCGGGGCTCAGCCCTGCACTTCGAGGTGCTCCGTGTGGCCCTGAGGCCCCGGCCAGGCAGGCCCACAGCTCTCTTTCAGCTAGAGGATGAGCGTTTCCCCAGCCTGCCTGCCCTGGTTCGCAGCTATGTGATTGGCCAGCGTCCACTGTCGCAAGCCACAGGGGCTGTGGCCTCCAGGCCAGTGCCACGGCAAGGACCAATTCGACGCAGCTTTAGTGAGGACACCCTTCCAGACGGCCTGGCTCGCACAGAGCCGCTCAGGTATTCACAGGCTCTCTACATCCCGAAGACACCCAACACCCCCCCAGGGTTCTCCACCACTGTTCCTGTGTGTTCCAGTAGTGGACGGCTCTGTCCACTATTGACATTTGTAGCCAGATTATTCTTGGTTGGGGGAGGGGGCATTGTGTGCATTGCAGGCTGTTGAACAGCATCCCTGGTCTCTTATCTACTAGATGCCAGTAGAATGCTCTGCACTCCACCCCTTAGTTATGACAAGCAAAAATATATTTCCTGACATTGCCAAGTGTCCCCTGGGGTTAGCAAGCACCCTGGGGGATCCCCTGGTTCTGAGTGATGGGATGTAAGGTTTTCTGGGCATTGGTGGAGGCTATATGCTATCTAACTATCTGCCTGGAGTAGGACAACATATCTCCCTCATCTCTGTCCCCTAGGGATAGGAAGCGGAGTGATAGTCAGCCCGCAGGTTTGGAGCATCTGTGGCGGCCACCAGAAGACCCTCCTGGACCAGGTAAAGGTCCTGGACCAGGACAGGACATAAATTCCAGAAATTCAGAAATTCCTCTGCCATGCACTATCCAGGTGACACCGGGCAGGTGATAACCTGCTAGGAGAAAAGGATGGTGATGCTGTCAGCGTGGTCACAGTGACTAAAACACACACAGGAACTTTGTAGTGCTTAAAAGTATGGGTTCACAATGATTCCAAGAAACCCTCCACGCTCTAATCATAGCTAACCTCTCCAATAATTCCATCCCTCATCCCGTCCTCTCTCTGGCCACACAGACGTCCTTTCAGGTGCTGGTTGTTGTTGTTGTTCAGTCTGCTGGAACCTTGTACATTCGTTCCTGCCTCAGGGCCTTTGCACTTGCTGTTCTCATCACTGGAAAGCTCATTCCGTAACCTTTAACTGACTGTTTCTCATCTAACAGGAGTTCCTCAAAGCAGCCAACCCTGACCATCCTACATAAAGTAGGAGTTCCCCTTGTGCCCTGACTGCCCTGTTGTCTCCCATTCAACATGAGCCCTCACTGTGTGTGTCAGACACTATACTAAGTGCTGAGATACATGAATGAACAAGAAAGACAAAGATCCCTGCTCAAGTGGAGCCCACATCCTATTAGAGAATGAAGGACCATGAACAACAGAAGTGAGTCACTTTGTTATTGTTGTTCAGTTGCCAAGTTGTGTCCACTCTGTGATCCCATGGATGCAGCACACCAGGCTTTCCTGTCCTTCACTGTCTCCCAGAGTTAGCTCAAATTCTTGTCCATTGATTCAGTGATGCTCTCTAACCATCTCATCCTCTGTCTCCCCCTTCTTTTGCTTTCAATCTTTACCAGCACCAAAGTCTTTTCCAATGATTTGGCTCTTCCCATTAGGTGGCCAAAGCATTGGAGCTTCAGCTTTAGCATCAGTCCTTCCAATGATTATTCAGGGTTGATGTCATTTAGGATTGACTGGTTTGATCTTCATACTGTCCAAGGGACTCTCAAGAGTCTTCGATACCACAATTTGAAAGCATCGGTTATTTGGCACTCAGCTTTCTTTATGATCCAACTCTCACATCCATACATAACTACTGGAAAAATCATGGCTTTGACAATACAGACCTTTGTCAGCAAAGTGATGTCTCTGCTTTTTAATATGCTGTCTAGATTTGTCATAGCTTTCCATATAAGGAGCAAACTTCTTTTAATTTCATAGCTGCAGTCACCATCCACAGTGATTTTGGAGTCCAAGAAAATAAAATCTGTCACTCCTTCCACTTTTCCCCCTTCTGTTTGCCGTGAAGTGATGGAACAAGATGCCATGATGTTTGTTTTTTGAATGTTGAGTTTTAAGCCAACTTTTTCACTCTCCTCTTTCACCCTCATCAAGAGGCTCTCTAGTTCCTCTTCACTTTCTGCCATTAGAATGGCATCTGCATATCTGAGGTTGTTGGTATTTTACCCGGCAATCTTGATTCCAGAGTGTAATTCATCCAGCCCAGCATTTCACATGATGTACTTACTATGCATATAAGTTAAATAAACAGGGTGACAGTATACAGCCTTGTCTCACACCTTTCCCAATTTTGAACCACTTTCAGTAAGAGTCTAACTGTTGCTTCTTGTCCAGCATACAGGTTTTTCAGGAGACAGGTACGGTGGTCTGGTATTCCTGTTTTTTAAAGAGCTTTCCACAATTTGTTGTGTTCCACATAGTCAAAGGCTTTAGCATAGTCAATAAAGCAGAAGTAGATGTTTTTCTGGAATTCCCTAGCTTTCTCTATGACCCAATGAATGTTGGCGATTTAATCTCTGGTTCCTCTGCCTTTTCTAAACTCAGATTTTATATCTAGAAGTTCTCAGTTCATGCACTGCTGAAGCCTAGCTTGAAGGGTTTTGAGCATAACCTTACTACCATGTGAAATGAGTGCAATTGTATTGTAGTTTGAACATTCTTGGAGAAGGAAATAACAACCCCCTCTAGTATTCTTGCCTGGCAGGCTACAATCCATGGGGTCACAAAGAGTTGGACACGACTGAGCGACTTCACTTTTGAACATTCTTTGGCATTGCCCTTCTTTGGGACTGGAATGAAAACTAACCTTTTCCAGTCTTGTGGCCACTGCTGAGTTTTCCAGATTTGCTAATATATTGAGTGCAGCACTTTAACAGCATCATCTTTTAGGATTTGAAATAGCTCAGTTGGAATTCCATCACCTCCACCAGCTTTGTTTGTAGTAATGCTTCCTAAGGCCCACTTGACTTCATACCCCAGGATGTCAAGCTTTAGGTGAGTGACCACACCATCGTGGTTACCCATGTCATTAAGACCTTTTTTTTGTACAGTTCTTCTGTGCATTCTTGCCACCTCTTCTTAATAGCTTCTGCTTCACTTAGGTCCTTACCATTTCTGTCCTTCCTTTATTGTGTCCATTCTTGCATGAAATGTTCCCTTGATATCTCAATGTTCTTGAAGAGATCTCTAGTCTTTCCCATCCTATTGTTTTCCTCTATTTCTCTGCATTGTTCATCTCTCCTTGCTATTTATTCTCTGGAACTCTGCATTCAGTTGGTTATACCTTTCTCTTTCTCCATTGCTTTTCACTTCTCTTCTTTCCTCACTGTTTGTAAAGCCTCCTCAGACAACCATTTTGCCTTCTTGCATTTCTTTTTCTTTGGGATGGTTATGGTTACTGCCTCCTGTACAATGTTACAGACCTCTGTCCATAGCTCTTCAGGTACCCGTGTCTATCATATTTAACCCCTTGAATCTATTTGTCACTTCCACTGTATAATCATAAGTGATTTGATCTAGGTCATACCTGAATGGCCTAGTGTTTTCCCCCTACTTTCTACAATTTAAGCTTGAATTCTGCAATAAGGAGCTGATGATTTGAGCCACAGTGAGGTCTAGGTCTTGTTTTTGCTGACTGTATAGAGTTTCTTCATCTTCTGCTGCAAAGAATATAATCAATCTTATTTCCATATTGACCATTTGGTGATGTCTGTGTATAGAGTCGTCTCTTGTGTCGTTGGAAAAGGTGTTTGCTGTGAGCAGCATATTCTCTTAACAAATCTCTTAGCCTTTGCCCTGCTTCATTTTATACTCCAAGGCCAGACTTTCTTGTTATCCCAGGTATCTCTTGACTTCCTACTTTTGCAACCCCCTATGATGAAAGAACATCTTTTTTGGTGTTAGTTCTAGGAAGTCTTATAGGTCTTCATAGAATGGTTCAACTTCATCTTCTCCAGCATTAGAGGTTGGGGTATAGATTTGAATTACTGCAATGTTGAATAGTTTGCCTTGGAAATGAACCAAGATCATTCTGTCATTTTTGTGATTGCACCCAAGTACTACTTTTCAGAATGTTTTGTTGACTATGAGGGCTACTCCGTTTCTTCTAAGGGATTCTTGCCCACAGTAGTAGATATAATGGTCATATGAATTAAATTTGCCTATTCCTGTCCATTTTAGTTCACTGATCCCTAAAATGTCAATGTTTACTCTTACCATCTGCTTGACCACATCCAATTTACCTTGACTCATGGTGTGCTGCAGTTCATAGGGTCACAAAGAGTTGGACACACCTTAGCGACTCAACAGCAACAACAAATGGATCTAATATTCCAGGTTCTTATACAATATTGTTCTTTACAGCACTGAAGTTTACTTTCACCACCAGGCACATCCACAACAGAGCACCATTTCCCCTTTGGCCCAGCTGTTTCATTCTTTCTGGAGCTATTAGTGATTGCCCTCCACTCTGCCCCAGTAGCATATTGGATACTTTCTGACCTGAGGGGCTTATCTTCCGGTGTCATATCTTTTTGCCTTTTCATACTGTTCATAGGGTTCTAATGGCAAGAATACTGGAGTGGTTTGCCATTCCTTCCTCCAGTGGACCACTTCACTGTGACCCATCTATCTTGGGTGGCCCTGCACGGCATGGCTCATAGCTTCATTGAGTTATGCAAGCCCCTTTGCCATGACAAGGCTGTGATCCATGAAGGGGAATCAATTATGCTTTGGGTTAAAAATTAAAAGTAGGACAGAGCAAGGAGTATTACAGTTTTTAGTAGTAGTTAGGAAATTTTCTCATGGAGAAATATTTGAAGGAGAGGATGGAGGAAACAATGTGGATAATGGGGTGAGAGTGGTCCAGACAGAGAGAACAGTCCGTGCAAAGGAACTAGAACCAGAACAAGAGTCTGAACTGTTCATTGAACCGAAAAGAAGAGAGTGTAGCAGAAACAGTGGGAGTGAGAGGGAAGTCAGAGACAGATCAGGCTCAGATTGTGAGAGCTTTGAGGGCTAACAAGAGGACTTTGGTCCTTATTCAGAGTGAAATGGGAACATTAGGGAGGTTTTAAACCCCCTTAACAGGATCGATTTAAATGTTTAGTAGACATAGTCTCCCAAAAGTCTGTGTGCAGTTTTAAGTTAATAACCTCAGAAGTAAATATACCACAAACTTAACAGAAGACATCATTTGAAAGTTTGATAAATTCAGTTTCTTTGAGGCATATGTAACTTTGTGAATTTTGAGTGACATATTTTTTTCATTTTAATTTTGTGTGGTCAGTGCTTACCATCGTCAATCAGAGGAGCAAAAAGGAAGAGTTCAGACTTAAAATGTAGTATTCAGAGTTGGCAGAACTACATCCATGTCAGAGAAAGTTCATTTTCAGACCATTGGTAGGTGTCTAGCATTGATGTTGGTGAGGCTGTTCAGCTTCAAAGCTGCACCAAGGTAATTTAGGATACCTGCTTATTGGCTGAATGAGTGCAGGAACCAGGAAGTTGGTAGCTCAGGAAGCCATCACCCTAGCGAGTTATTTTCTCTGTGTACCTCTTTCTCCCCCTCTTGTATGACCCCCAGGAGCCTCCACTGTACCTGCATCTGGCCTGCCTCGGACAGGTAGTGACCCCGTGATACTAAAGACCCCAGTTCCCTTAGAGTCCGTTGCTGACAGTCTCAGGGCCTCTGATGGGCAGCTTCATGCCAAGGCCCCAACCAAGCCACCTCGAACACCCTCACTGCTGCTGCCTGATGCCTCTGGACGCCCCCCGACGTACTGTGAGCTGGTGCCCCGAGTGCTCAGGGTCCAAGGACCGCCCCCTGGCCACAGCTGCCCAGAGTCAGAGGTGCCCTGGTGGGAAGCCGAGGAGGAGAAAGAGGAGGACAGATGTTTTGCAAGACCGCAGGCTGAGGTCTCTTTCTGTCTCCCTGAAACCCCCTCCTGCCTGCTGGGGTCCCAGAATCGGCCTCTGGAACCCGAAGTCCTGCATACTCTCCGTGGCCTGTTCTTGGCACACCATCCTGGGAGCACAGCTCTCCACTTGCTATTGATAGACTGCCAGGTGGGTCCCCTACCAGGTCTTCCCTCCCCGGATAGGGCCTGAAGCCAGGGCATGACCCAAACCCACCTCACACCCACAGACTCACTCTGCTCCTTTAACGTCCCTACTCTTACCCCCGCGCCCCATCGCCAGGCCACAGGCGTCCTGGGAGTGACCAAGGCGCAGCGGGGCGCCATGGGGGTCTCCTCTGGTCTGGAGCTGCTCACACTTCCCCACGGGCATCTCTTGAGGTTGGAATTGCTGGAGAGGTGAGCCAGCCACCTGAAATCCCCAGGGCCTTCAAACCTCCTCCCATTCCCGGTTCCCCAGGGAGGAGGGGAATGGGCAATGCCGCCGACTGTCCCTCCTCACCCCGACATCACAAACCTCCCCACTGCCCCCAGACCCTTGCCCTCCGCCTCTACAGGCTTGAGACGCTGGCGTTGGCGGGGGCTCTGGCAGTGCTGGGCTGCGCAGGGCCGCTGGAAGAACGCGCGGGCGCCCTGAGGGGCCTGGTGGAGCTGGCCGTGGCGCTGCGGCCAGGGGCGGTGGGGGACCTGCCCGGACTGGCCGCGGTGATGGGCGCCTTGCTCATGCCCCAGGTGCGTGGGAAGCAAGGGAGGAGGCAGGTGATGGGGAAGAGTGGAGGGAAGTAGGGCTCAGGTCTCTTCCTCCAGGTGACGCGTTTGGAACGCACGTGGCGCCACCTGAGAAGGAGCCACACGGAGGCTGCGCTGGCCTTTGAGCAGGAGCTGAAGCCGCTGATGCGATCGCTGAATGAGGGCGCCGGTGAGTGGCGGCTTTCGAGGAGTGATTAGTCTTAACCAGAATCTGGATTCAGCCCTAAGCCCCGCCCGCCCGTGTCTTAGTCCCCGCCCCTGGGTCTCTCCTAGGCCGCGCCCCCTGCCTAGGCCCGGCCCCTGACTCACATCTAGCAATGCGCTAGGCTCTGGCCTCCCGGTCTCGCGACGAACCCTTGCTTCTGTCCCGGGCTCCACCTCGGTCGTTCGAGCCGCCTGCTCTTTCGGTCCTAGGCTCCGCCCCTTAATCGAGGCTCCGCCCCTCGCGCCCTTTCCCCCGCCCTCTACGCGAGACTCTGCCCTGGACCCAATCCCTGGGCGGACCTGCTCTAGGCTCCGCCCCGGCTCTAGGCCACACCTTGCCCTCCTCCCGTCCCGGCTCGAGCCTGCATGTCTGACCCAAACCCCACCCGCTGCCCTGTCCTAGGGTGCCCTGTCCCCAGTTTATGTTGGGTCCTCTTCACCCTAGGACCCACACCCCACCCCTAGCCCAGCCCAGACCCTTCCCCCAACAGGACCCAGCGATCCCGGCGAGGTGGCGCTGCCGCACGTGGCACCCGCGGCGCGCCTGCTGGAGGGTGAGGAAGTCCCGGGGCCCTTGGACGAGAGCTGCGAGCGGCTGCTGCGCACTCTGCACCGGGCGCGTCAGACGGCCCGGGACGCGCCCAGGTTCCGCGAGGCGGCGGCGCGGCGCCTGCGAGGTGAGCGCCTCCCATTCGAGGGGTTGCCAGAGGATCCCCACTTTAGAAACAACCTGCATGCTCCAGCGCGGTAACCCCCAAACCCACCGGGCCAGAGACTAGACTCCTGTCACGCCTCCCAGAGTCCCACCCAAACTGGGCGGGCCCCGGTCCCAGGGGTGTTCTCACCTCAACACACGCCGCCACCACCTGCAGCGTTGATGGGCACAGCGCCCTCTGCCCCTCAGAGCCATGCCCACAGGGCCCCACCCCCACTTTCCCACCTGGGAAGGTCCTACCCCCAGAGGGTCTCAATTCTCCGCAGGAATGTGCAGCTCCTTCCAAAATGACTCAGACCATCACTCTGGCAGGATAGCGCCCGCACTGTACTCAGAACCACACTTCTGTCCTGGGGCAGCCCTGCCTCCGGAATCCCCCACCTGGGGGGTTCCTTAAGACCCTTCTTCTTCCAACATGGCCCAACCTTCTCCTCCCAAGTTTGTCGCGCAGAGTGGCCCCAAATTCCACCCTCAAGGCAGCTCCTTCTCCAGGTTCTACCCCTAAAGTAGGGGGCGCCCTGATGTGGCCCCTGGAACGGACTGGCCCCCATGCACCTTGGCAGAGCCCACATCGACCAAGCCCTTCAGCCACCCCCCACCCCAACTCCTGCAGACCCCTCCCCAGCTAACCCTGCCTGGTTGTTCAGATAATCTGGGGCAGAGTCCCTCCTCGGTCAAAGTCCAGAGGGAACAAGGCAGGTGTGGGAGGAGCAAGGCAGGTGCCTGGGCCCCACCCCCAGCTCACCTGGCCTTGCCCCCAGGATTCCGGCCCAACCCGGAGCTGACAGAGGCCCTGACCACTGGCTTCTTGAGGAGGTTGCTCTGGGGGAGCCGAGGGGCTGGGGCACCATGGGCCACACGACTCGAGAAGTTCCAACGTGTCCTCAGCGTCCTCTCGCAGCGCCTGGAGCCTGACCCTTGAAACCACAAACCCCCTTCTCATGCTGGGATACCCAAGCATCTGGGGACCCCTGATGGAGACCTAGGAAGCCACCCAAGTTTCTTCACCCAGCCAAATGCAGTGGGGACCTGCATCCTGCTGCACAGAAGGAGAGGACCGGTTTGCAAGAACCCACCTTGCACCCTAAAAAGGCATGTGGATCCTGGGAGTGGGCAGCTCCTGCCTTACACTAGAAGACCCAGATGTCTGGAGGCTCTGTACCCCCCGCCCCACCCCTACCTGACAAGTGGTGGACGTGTGTCTCTTAATGTTAAAGATAACTTGAAGATCTCTCTGTAAGAAGCCAGATTTCAATGTTTTAAAACCTGTGTGACTTCTATCAGATCACTTGACCTCTCTGTGCCCAGTTTTAATAAAAAAGTGACACTGTACTTTCTAGAGGTTATCATGGGGATGAAAACTCAACGTTTGAATGAGCTCCTGGGTGGAGAATGCCTGGCACACAGTAGGTGCTCAGCAGATGTGAGCTGCAGGGAACACCAAAGAGGTGACATCCACCCTCCTCCCTACCGGAGTCACAGACAAGCACTGGACTCCCAGCAAGGGGCATAGTTTGTCCAAGGTGTACCCAGGTTCATCGCCACTTCCTCATTCCCCGCATGGCCCTTAAGGAGGGTGGTGTTTGAATATCCAGCCCCAGAATCCAAACCTGCTAATAAGCCACAGACTCCAAGAGTTTTTCATCATTTTTTATATAAAACAAAATGACCCTAGCCGAGCGGCAGGAAGAAAAAAGATTTGAAACATGAGTATGTACATCAATGGTAGAAGGCACAGCGGGTCCATCTGGGGAGAGGAGTGAGGGGGTGGGGGTGGGGGGCAGCAGGTTACACAGGTCTCAGCCAAAGCCACGGGGGCAGAAATAAAGTGCGTAGGTCCTGGGGCCCCCCGTGGCCCAGAAGCAGCAGCCAACAGCCCCCCTCTTCCCGCTTCCAGCAGGGTTCAGTTGAGCATGACGCGGAGGTAAGAGGTGGGCACATAGCCCTCACCTCCCTGTTTCCGCCTGACTCGGGTCCACCCGTCGCCTTTGTCCTCTTCCATGAGACTGAGGTCCTCGCCCTCAGCCATAGAGATGGTGCCCTCGCTGGACCCTGTCACAGAGCGGCAGTGGGCTCAGGTCCACTGGAGGCGGATCTCAACAGAGCCCAGCCCCAAATGCCACCCTCCCCTGCCCCCCGCCCCCGCCAAAGTCACCGATGTACCACCCAAACTGTCCATACCTTCAAAGTGGTAGATGGCCACACAGTGACCGATGGGGGAGGTGGGCTCCTCCTCAAATTCCTCATCAAACTCCGTGTAGATGGGGGCATCCTGACCCTCCTCAGAGGGGGGCTCTTCAGAGCTGGTTGGAGAAGGCAAAGGAGTAAGAAGAGGCACCCCTTACCAGGTCCGGGGTCTGGGGACAGACCCACCCCGGCCTGCTTGCACACCTCTCCTTGTTCTCTTGAGATCCATTGTTGCTGTTGCTGCTGCTGTCCGGCGGCGCGCTGGCTGGGGGGTCTGGAGGCCGGGTGTGCCGGCCCAGGGTGTCTCCCCGGTTGCTTAGGACCCGGCTCTCAGCTTCTGCCAGCCAAGCCTGAAAGGAGGGGACCGCACACTCAGCTCCAGGGCCAGGCTCTGGGGTCAGCCCACTCTGGGCCTGGAGGTTTCCTGAGATCACCCATGTACACCAGAGGCCGTGATGAGAAACAGCTGGAGCCCCCACCTACACCTCCCTGTCCCTCTTTCTCCCCCTCCCCACCAGGCAGTGACTCAGCCAGGCCTGCCGGCCCCGCCTCTCCCCAGGGTCTGCCCTGACCTCATACTTCTGTACTTCCAGTTTCAGCCGTTCGATGTTGTTCAGGGTTTCCATGATCCGGGGTTCCAAGCTGGCTGGGTCTCCCATCTGGGGTGTCTTTTCATACACATCCTTCATTTTCTTCAGGGCCTCCCTAGGGTGAGACAGATGGAGGAGAAAGAAATCCATGTGATTTAACAAACAAAAAAAGATGGGCTTTGCTTCAGGGAACTCAGCCAGTGCTTCATAGCCTGGATTCAAATCCCAGAGCGGGCATTTCCTAGTTGTTCCAAAACTGTGTCTCAGTAGGCTTGTCTGTGAAAGGAGAATAATGGTATCTATATGTGTTGTGAAGATGAGAGCAGTGCCTTTACTGGTGTATAACTATACTGGAGTATAGTTGCTGTACAATGTTGCGTTAGTAAAGTGAATCAGTTCACATGTATACAAATATCCCCTCTTTTTTGGATTTCTTTCCCATTTAGCCCACCACAGTGCATTGAGTTGAGGTCCCTGTGCTATACAGTAGGTTCTCGTTAGTTATCTATTTTATACGTAGTAGTGTATATAGGGGGCTTCCCATGTGGTGCTAGTGGTAAAGAACCACCCATGCAAGAGATGCAGGACATGAGGGTTTGATCCCTGGGTCAGGAAGATCCCCTGCAGAAGGAAATGGCAACCCACTCCAGTATTCTTGCCTGGAAAATTCCATGGACAGAGGAGGCTGGAGGGCTACAGTTCATGGGGTCGCAAAGAGTCTGACATGACTGAGCAATTAACACTTCCAGATTTTCACACTGAGTGCGTACGGCATACCAGAAACCCACTCTAGGCATTAGAAATACAGCAGTAAACAGAACTATGTGGATCCCACCTCTCAGGTAGGATACACATTGTCTCCTATGTGTATCAGTCTCTCAGGAAAACAGGAATTCTAATGATCCATGTAAGGAGTTAGAAACTCTATAAATGCTAGGTATTATTATTATCATTAGTCCCCCGTCCCTGCTTCCTCCATGTCTATACATACAGATGGTAATCATTACATGCATATCTGATGCACATAGAGATGAGGAAACTGCAAAAAGCTAGTACAAAGGCCAGTCCATTTGGACTCCAGAGCATGCACCCATAACCCCAATGTCATAAAAATCTCAGGAATGGGGACTTCTCTGGTGGTCTAGTGGTTAAGAGTCTGCACTTCCCCCGCAGGGGGCGTGGGGTCCATCCCTGGTCGGGAACCCAGGATGCTGCTCAAGGTGCAGCCAAAAATTTAAAAAAAAAAAAAAAAAATGAAACGCTCAGGAACAACAATCAAATGGAACTTTACACCAATAAAAGCCATTTTGTACAAGGAGTTCTGTGCAAAACAGCAAAATATCATTTGGCTGCCTATCTGCAAGTGGCAAACGTCATTCTTATTATGTAAGAGGACTGGGAAGAGAATCTTGCTGCTTGGAAAGTGTGAGTAAAGATTTTCTTTTTTTTTATCTGGCAGGTTTTTTTATTGTTAATATTTTAAGTTTTTTGAGTTATTAAATGAAAAAAAACCACATGCTTTTTTTCTTTTAGCCAAATAATGGAGTGAATAAGACTCATAGATGCTTTTTGATATTGAACCATCTTTGCATTACTGGTCTAACCCCACTGATCATGATTTTTTTTGTTTCTTTTTTTATTATTATTCTTTATTGTGATATATACAAAATATAAAATTTCCCATCTGTGCTACTTTTAAGTGTACAGTTCTGTGGCATTAAATTCATTCATGGAGTTGGGCAATCACCATCACCACATGATGTAATACTGTTCTTAATACATTGCTGAACTTGGATTGGCTAGGATTTTGCTATCTAAGATTGTTAAGTTAATTAAATAAATCCATAATTTTATTTTCTTGAATTCTTGATAACTTAGTTTTGGAACTGAAATTCCACCAGCCTCCTAAATGAGCTGGCAGCTTTCACTCTTTTTTTTTCCCAATCTTTTTGGCAGCATGTGGGAATCTTCATTCTCTGACCAGGGATTGAACCTGTGCCCCCTGCATTGGCAGCACAGAGTCTTAACCACTGGACCTCCAGGGAAGTCCCTTTCACTCTTCTTCTGTTTCCTGGAATGACTTGTATAAGGTGGGAAGTAACTGTTTCTCCTACTTACAGTTCACCTATAAACCCACTGGGGCCTGGGGTTTGTTAGAGAGGAGATCTTTGGGTACCATTTCAGTGTGATTTATTTATCCTTTCATCTTGTTCCTTACCTGCTCAGCCCCTCGGCTTACCTCTGGTCCATCTCCTTCTGTAGTTCACGGTTCCGTTCTTCCAGCTGCTGCTGCAGTCGCTTTCTCTGCTGCTCCGGGGGCAAGTGGCTGAAATCCTCAGTCACCACTGTCTGCAAGGTGGGAGAGGACTGAGTTCCGGAACACAGAGTTTGAGCTCCCAGGTCTAAGATAGGCCTAAGACACACCGAGTCCACGTCCTCCCTGCCCAAGGTTCTCGGGCGGCAAGGCCATGCAGAGAGCAAAGCAGGTCCAGGTGGGGCCTTGGAAGGAGGGGGCCCAGCCAGCGGCAGGAAGCGAGCCCAGGGTCCCGCCACCCGGCCGCTGGGCGGGCTGGGGCCGCCCCCTCCTCCTCCCCCAGAGGCCTCACTTACCCCACGGCTGCCTCGAAGGCTGCGGAAGGATGCTAGCCGCGGTTTGACCGACTTACTGATCTCGCTCAGTATGGCCAAGGGGTCGAGGCCGGAGCGGGGGGACGGGGGTCCATTAGGTAATGCCGAGGGCAGGGGGCCCCCCAGGGGGGAGAGAGGTGGGGGGCACGGCTACCGGCAGGGGTCAGGGAGGGCATGGGTCAGAAGGGTCGGGAGGATGTAGAGAACAAAGACGGATGGACGGACGGACGGACGGCGGATGGACGCAATAAAGAAAAAAGAAAAAAAAAAAAAAAACCAAATGGAGAAAAGAAAAAAAAAAGTAAGAAAACCACAACTCAAGATGCACAATCACACACACAGAAAATGCATGCAAAGAGCAACACAAAAAATCTGGGAGGTGGCAGGAGGGCATTAGATTGTGAGCCAGAAGGCTAGACCTCTCCCCCTCTACCCCCCAACACTTCCCACCTCCCTTGCATCCTATGTCGTTTCTAGAATGGAGCCTGGGGGCACAGGGAGGCCCATATTTCTCTAC